CAATCAAAAAGTAAAGTAAAAAGGCATAAAGATAGTTTTAACAATCTACCACACATATCCAATAATTAAAAGCAAATCTAGAAGTAAGACATTGAAACGATTTGAAAACTAAATTATGTAAATGAAAAAGATGACAAAAAAGGAAGGATTTTGAAATTATTAGAGCCCATGATAATTAAGATTTTTAATAGCAAGAATAAGGCCAATACTAGATAGAAGAAGGAAAGAAATCGAGAGATAGGAGAGAGAGAGAGAAGGAAGGAGATTAGTGATTAGAGGGGGTGGAGGAGAGAAGAAAGAAGACGACTTAGTTTTTTATGACAGCCTTGATTGTTGTTGATGTGTCGGTAATTGGTGGAGATGAAAGTTTTCACGACTAAAAGATGCACATTAAGGGTTAGAGTGGTTGGTTGAGGAATAAGAAAAAAAAAAAAAAGAAAAATAGATAAAAATAGGTTTTAACACGTGTCAACATATAATGAAGATTATCGAATGATTTATTAGTAGATTTAACTTTAAGTCAAATATCTAATTAAATTGATTTTGATAATAAATAAAATAAATATTAAGATAAATAAAATAAATGGGAGAAACTACAAAATCAAGAATAAAAAAACATATAAAAGTTTTGAATCTTTTCAAAAAGTAAATTGATTTAACTTGACATGATAACTCAAATGATTAATGTCTTGTTATTTACCAATAATTTGAGAAGCATTATCACTTTTAATGAATGTTACTTAATTTTTCAGTAATAAGGATTAAATAAGTCTTGCATAAATCCATCAAGAATATGGCTAAATAGAAAATCAGGCAACCACCAAAAAACAAGAAAGCAAGACAACAATTTAAGGACAAATTGCACATCATAAACACCACTTTGAATTTTTTTTTTTTTTTAAAACTAACAAGTGAAGACCCTCCAACTCGGCCAACTTTAACCTTTCTTCTTACGGCAGATCAAGAGGTCCATTAGCAAAGTTAGTTTCATTTGGATCAATTGCAACTCCAAAATCAGATAGTACGAAAACTTCTTTTCTTTTCTTTTTTTTAAATGTAGCTTTTATTTAAAATCATATCAATTAATCAACATTTATGCATAGACAATTCCCTCTTGGCATGTATGTCTGAGAACACTTCTTTTTGTCCACATATCAATTTCTTTTCAGAGCAATTCTTCTCAATCCATCGAGATAGCATTACTTTTAGATAAACCAACAAATTTTTAGCCAATTATTAGTTTCTCAATTATCTTATCTTTCAATTCCTTTACTCATTGAGAAACTCAAATAACATATTTGTATATTTTATATTATTAATGATAATAATAGTAAAAATAATGTGTTACAGTCAACTTGACGCATTTGATGGATTGCATCTCAAGTTAATTTTAAGCATTTTGAAAAGGACCATTTGAATTTGACTGAAAGCTTTGAATATTGTGCTCTCCACATCTATCTAGCATTTTAGTTAGCCTTTTTTTTTTTTTTCTTTTTAAATTTTGTGAGAGTTACTTTCCATTCTTTTGAAACGCTCGTGGAATGAGAGTGGGAAAGTGGAGTTTCCAATAAGAGATAAAAGCTCAGCAACTGTCAGAGCCAATTGGGCATCGAGTTGTAACCCGTTTTGTCCGGGTTATCTGCCTTTAACCTACCAGGCTATATGAGCTAAAGCCTATATAGCCATAGGCGTGAGGGATTGGGTTCTTTGCAATTGATGGCTCTGATAAAGACCTGCTGCTTTTCATTACTGTGACATGTTTGTCCATACACTACTCGTATTGACCGATCTACCCTTCCTACCAAAACATTAGGCCATGACATGAACACGTAGCTTACTAATAATAATGCGTACAAGCATGATTACCCATTTTAGTTCCTAGGTTCTTTTTTCATTCTCTGAGCTCCATACCTACACTTCCTTTTAGGGTTACTTTGAATTTATGGGATTCCAACAGAGTATTTAAAAGACTCTGTCTTTTCAATTAATGGTTTTCTGACATGTGCTGCTTCGGCTCTAGCTTATTAGCATTGCTTGGTAATTGGATGTAAAGGTGGGATGTAGTAGGTTTTTGTACACTCAGCAGTTTAACACCAGTTAATGGTGATGTCTTAGCTTCCTCTCATGACCTGCTTAGACTGTCTTCTGCAATACCAAAACTTGTCAATTTAGGGTTTGTCTAGATTTCATTTTCTTTGAAACGATGCAATGGGCTCTTAGCTAGGATTCCACTTTTCTGTTCCTTTTTTTTTTTCCTAATTACATTGAAATCGGTACTGAATTAAAGTTCAACAATGAAATTGTGTTTTTTTTTTCCAAAATAAACAAACAAATTTAGTTTGAAACCTAAAGATGGATTAACAAAGTACAAATGAATGCATGGATATAAATGGTTTAATGAAATAATTTATTTTTAAATTATTGAGATTTTGATAAAATAAAAGTTATATTATCAATTTAGATTATTTAAATCTCAAAATATTAATTTTCGAATAAAAACTATTATTTTTTTTATGTTTAATAGGTAAAGTATTGATCATTAACTGAAATGCTTAGAAACATAAACGTTTTAATTTTTGTTTTTATAGATAAAATTAATTTTGAATTTTTTTTCACTGTTCATTTTTTTACTAGATGGAACTATTACACATTATTAATTATTTAACAATGAAAATTAGATACATAAATAATAAAATCATCTAATTTTTTTTAAAACTAACTATTATTTTTTTAAAAAATTAATTTTAATTCTAAAAAATTGATTTTTTTTTAATAATTCATCTTTTTTTTTAATGGATGAATCCATTACACGTTATTAATGATCCAACAAAAAAAAATCATTGTTTTAAAACCATCTAAACTTTATTAAAACTAACTATTATTAAATAATTTTTTAAAATTAATTCTATTTTAAAAAAAAACTTAAAATAATGTTGTTTTAAGCGAGTTCAATTAATGATCAATAATTTAATTGTTATACGCAATGGAAAAGAATAAAATTTATCAAACAAAATTAATAATTTAGAATCTAAATTGATGATAAAAATCTTATTATTATTTTTTAATTACCTCAATAGCTTATACGTAAATTATGCTAATTCAATCGAAAATAAACTAGAGTACGTACTAGGGAAGATGCCTAAACACACAGCAAAATAATGAATTGACTTATTTCTACCGATTTTGGACGCTAGTTGGACTTCAAGGCGACAGCACTGTAAACGAAAAGAAAAGAAATGAAACAAAATAATACAGATTGGATTGCGATAAGTAGATCACTCCCTAATAAAGACTAGGCATGGATTAATGTCAATTATTAAAGACACAGAAAATTTCTGATTCAAATTAATACATATGCTTATCCACTCTTTGTCCAGTCCACGCATAATGACAAGCAGCTTACCATTGCTTTTTACCTAAGGAAACAACTATAATTGCCTGGAGGACCCAACGTCTCATATGGTTAGAGTCAAAACTTGAGCAGGCAGAATAGGCAGCAACATCATCATGAAAAAAGAACTATGTTTTGTTAACTTTTTATATATATATATAGCTCGAAAATTTTACATCTTTTTAAAGCTTTTCTACCAAATTCGACCAATTGGATGCTCAACAGAAAATAGACTAGATTTGAAATGAAAAATGAAAAGCTAGGAGCTAGTACTGCAAAAAGTTCCATAACAGATAGCAACTCTCTAGTTTGGCAAATTTTGTTTTGAGCATCCCAAGATCTTCTACTACAAATGCTATGCAAAAAATGCTCATAACAAAAATAGGCCTTCCTTTAAAAAAAGAAAAAAAGAAAAGAAAAGCATTTCTCTATTTCTAGCTCCTACTTCCTACTAAATTCTCTTTTTTAGCTGTTACATCCAAAAATCCCAAGTTTTTTTTTTTTTTTGTTTCTTGAGATTACCAAACACTGATTGATACGGATATTTGATCTATAATCAAGCAAAAAATAAGATATGTTTTTGTATAGATACAATCAATTCTAATTTGTTCTAGTGAAGAGTTTGGTGTTATTACTAACGATTACTAAATACACATTGTATTTACCAAATGTTTGTTCGTCATACTGGTTAGAACTGGACATGAAGGGTTACACTTTTCGAAAAATGCGAAGTACTAAGATTTTTGTTCTGTTTTGTACGCAGGTAACATAACATTAGATAAGCAAGGTTAGGTTAGGGACATGGGGGAGATTTGGGAAGTGGAAGGGGACAGAATAGACATCCGACCGGAAATACTGGGATCCGTACAGAAACTCTCTCTCTCTCCTTTTACTGCTGCTAAATTTATAGTAGACTGTATTTTTGTTTATCAGTTAGTCCTAGATTATATATTAATTTATCAGTTATGTTGTTTTTGGACAGTGGTATTTAAGTAACAAAAGCCTCACAAAAAGCAAAAGCACTTGGGAAAAAAAAAAAAAAAAAAGAGACAGCTTTAGCTCTCTCTCTCTCTCTCTCTCTCTCTATGTCTTACACTACTGCCACGCATCGCATCCTCGCAGAGTCTTCACAGCATTGCAGCAGGCACTGCATCTGAGTTTTGCAGATCATGAGGAGGAGCAGCAGCAGCAACCACAACAGAAAGAGCCCATAAAAAATGATAAAGAAAATAAATAAAAAAGATGAAAGCTTTAATTTAAGAATTAATACTAGTACTAGTATCATTTAAACCCTCAATTAAAACCCCACACCCTTTAAAGCTTTTGATTTGATATCTTAAAAAAAGCAGAGAGAGACAAAGAAGGAAAAAAAGGGTCTCTCTTTTTAAGAGTCTTGACTCCAATCTATCTCCTTTTAAGCCATTACCAAAGTTCAAGTATAATGCAGCCATGAAATCACTCCTTATTCACAAAAGCACTTGTCTTTTGATAAATCTTCATTATTGTTATTATCAGCAACTTCTCATTATTCTTCTTCTTCAAAAACTCTACACTATTCTTCTTCTTGTTGCTGTTGTTGTTTAGGTAGGCTACATAGCTAAGGCTAAAAATGGTGGGTATGATAGATCTTAACACAACTGAAGAAGATGAAACTACACCATCTTCTGGGTCTTTATCTTCTCCATCATCATCCTCTGCTGCTTCTACTTTAAGTGCTTCTGCTCCTGGGTCTAGTACTTCTTCTTCTGTGTGTTTGGAGCTTTGGCATGCTTGTGCTGGCCCACTAATATCTTTGCCAAAGAGAGGGAGTGTTGTTGTGTATTTCCCTCAAGGTCACTTAGAACAACTCCCTGATTTGCCTCTTGCAGTTTATGATCTCCCTCCTCATGTCTTCTGTAGGGTTGTTGATGTCAAGCTCCATGTAAGTTTTTATGTCATTTTGTATCTGTAGGTTTTCTATGTTGTTTTATTGATGCAATTGTTGGGTCCAAATGGGTGTTTTCAGAATTTTCCTCTTTTTCTTCGTTGGTGCTACTTGGTTTGATAGGAAATTAAAGGGTTGCATTTTTTGGTTTTTGCAATCGTGGAGAATTTGACTTGTAGTTGTATAGCATTGTAAATGTTCGGATTTCTATTTATATATTTGGTTACCTTCTGTTTTTTTCTGGTTTTTTGTTTGGGAAAAATGGAGTGCTATATCTGTTAAGACAGATTTGTGGTGAAAATGTGTTTTTTCATCCCTTGTTGCAGGCCGAGGCAGCAAGTGATGAGGTTTATGCACAGGTTTCTCTGGTTCCTGAGAGTGAGGTGGGTGTTGTTCTCATCTTACTTTACCTTCAATTGTTGATAAATGTGAGAGAATTTAGTAAATTGAGTTTTTGGATGATAAATTTATAATATTTCTGCAGAACCTCCTTTCCCCCCACCCCAACCCCAACCCCAAAGGGAAAGTTCTTTTAAATGGGATTTTATTCGTATTTGGCTTAGTGATTCCAAAATATTTAAGATATTTGATTCAAATCTTCATTTTACCAGAAATTAAATGGTTAATTAACAAACAGAATGCTTGTCTCTTGTAGATATGCATCGTTCTTTGAATTTTAGTCTTGGATTTTAGATTTTTATTACATTGTTGCCGTTAGTGTATCTTTGGTTTGTTTCTCTTGATTCATCATGGTATAACCTGAGATGCTTGATATGGGGTTCATTTCTCCTTGTTGTTGTGCACAGGAAATTGAGCAGAAGTTGAGGGAGGGCATACTTGAGGGAGATGGTGAAGAGGAGGATGTTGAAGCCACTGTGAAGGCAACAACACCCCATATGTTCTGTAAGACCCTAACTGCTTCTGATACCAGCACTCATGGAGGCTTCTCAGTCCCTCGTCGAGCTGCTGAGGACTGCTTCCCTCCTCTGGTAAATAACACCGTACTTTTTAATCCTGTTCTTTGATAACTATTTAAGTGCGCGATTTCAACTTGACTCTAACTTCCATTCTTGGCTAAACTTTGGATGTTGTTGACTTAAATGGATTGTTACTGCAGGATTATACTCAACAAAGGCCTTCACAAGAACTTGTAGCAAAGGATCTGCATGGCTCTGAGTGGAAGTTTCGACATATCTACAGGGGTATGCTCGAGGCAATAGCACTTGCATTTCCTGCTTCATTAATTTAGTCTGTATAAGAGAATATCTTGCTGACTGTGATTTTGTAAATTTCACTTTCCTTGTTTGGTTCTTGAGTTTGTATTTTCCTTCTTGGTTTGAGCAGGTCAACCACGGAGGCATTTGCTCACTACTGGATGGAGTGCGTTTGTCAATAAGAAAAACTTGTCTCTGGGGATGCTGTGCTCTTTCTCAGGTATAAATATCTCTTTTCTCTTCACTAGGATATTCTAAGCCCAACTTTGTGATTCTTTATTAGTACCTTCCATCAGGGGTGAGGATGGAGAATTGAGGCTGGGAGTTCGAAGAGCAGCACAAGTTAAATGTGGTCCTACTTTTCCGGTTCTGTGGAATCAGCACTTGAATCAGAGCTCACTTGCGGATGTGGCTAGTTCCATTTCTATGGGAAGTGCTTTCCACATTTACTACAATCCAAGGTATTTTTCTTCTTGTTTCATCTAATAATGTTCATAGGAAAATATAACCAACATTAGGATTCCAGCATGTGAAACTATTGGATTGGAATGCACTGGCAGAATGCTTATATTTAAATATTTAAATATTACTGGAAAATTTAAATAGGGTGGTTGCCACATCTCTTAATCATTCTAATGGCTTGGAAACTTGAAAATATTTTGTGTTGGCATATGTTGTGTGCTTTGTATATCATTTTGTTTTGTAAAGCTCTCACCTCAGCTTTCTTCATCTAATTCATGCCATAGATGAAGACATTGAACAGCAATTTTAGAGGGTAACCTAACAAAGAACTTTCACTGGGATAATATATTTATCATTACTATTGTTGTTTAGATATTGTTCGCCCTACAACCTCCTGAATTCCGAGTCATTTTCTTTCCTCCAATAGGAACCAAATAGCATCCAATGTCTTTTACTCCAACAGGTCTTTCACCCATCGTTGCATTTCTCCCCATCTGATTACCACCCTTTCATGTTGATGTCATCTCAGTATTCATTTCACATATCACCAAGTCATTACCCTTCTATTTTGCATAACACCACATAAAAGGTATTCCCATTGTTGCTCCTCATGTTTCCCTTCTTACCAGAAAGGTTGCTTCAGCATCCAGATCGGTATGTTAATAAGGTTTTCTCAACTCTCTTCCAAAGTCCTGTACAACTCACCAAAGTGCTTCCTGTTCTCTCAAACAGCTGCAGTATTTATCTATTACTCGAGAATGAACTAGAACTCAATTGCTTATTGAATTTCTCACTGGCTGGGTGGATAACGATCCATTGTTATTAAAACCTAAAATTTTAGTGCACAATATGATACATTTTATAGAGAAAAATACATCCTTGTAGATAATGACCAGAAGAGGATTGTGCTTAACATTTCTTAATGCTCTTCTGAGTGTAAAAGAAAAGAACTTACTAAACATTCATTATTACAATGATAGTCAATCGCACCCCTTAACAAATTCTATTCACCTTTGACATTATCTATTTGACTTAAGTTTTACTGTTTTGCTGGTGATCCTTAATGCTTAGTGTACTCTTCAGAACAGTTTCGTGGTTGTTTCTGCTTCTGGTACCCCTATTTTCTTTTCTATGGTTTATTGGTTTTTATTACTTTCCCCTAATTTTCGAGTGCACTTTCTTACTTTGTAGGGCCAGCTCATCTGAATTCATAATACCTTTCAATAAATTCTTGAAGAGTCTAGATCAATCCTTTTCTGCTGGAATGAGGTTCAAAATGCGTTTTGAAACAGAAGATGCAGCTGAAAGAAGGTTTGGCATCCATGGAATTGTAGCTTTTATCAACTACGATATCCAAATATTAACTAAAATACTTTTTGCAGATATACTGGACTAATAACTGGAATCAGTGAGCTAGATCCTGTTAGATGGCCTGGTTCAAAATGGAAATGTGTATTGGTATGTAGTTGTTGAAAAGTGTACTTCGTTAAAATTACTTGCAAGTTCCTCAATGTTTGTGGAGATTTTAGAGTAATGAAACTAAGGTTCATTTTGAGGTTTTGTTGTGGGGTTGCTCTTAGATTTGTATTTGCTTTTCTACCTTCCAAGTATTTTCCCATCTTTCTCGTCACTTCCATCTACTTAGGCATTGATTTTTTGCATCATTGGCAGTTTCTTACTGTCTAAAGTGTGGAAGATCTAATAGAACTGAAACTATATGTATAGCTTGCTATGGTTTGGGACTTTTCTATCTTACATCTGGGGACCTTTCTTTAATGTCTTGGTCTTTCTCCATGATATTTTATCTGGTGTTCTGTAGTTGGTACTTTGGGATGATGACATGTAAGGCCATTATTATCATTGAATATCACATATTGAAAGAGTTTTTTGTAATTATAGAAATGTAGGTGTAATTTATTTTGCTTGGCTGTTTAAAAATGAGATGTTTGTATTATTTTTCTGCTTGCCAATCTGGGCATTCGGTTTTGTTTTGTTGTTCTTCTCGATTCTTCCCGTGCCCTTGCACCTAAGTTCAATGCATCTTTACTATTTTTGACTTTTCATGTTTCATGTTAAGTTCTAATGGTATCATCTTCTTCCCAGGTAAGGTGGGATGATATGGAGGCTAACAGACATAGCAGGGTTTCTCCTTGGGAAGTTGAGCCTTCTGGTTCTGGTTCTGTTTCCAGTTCCAATAACTTTATGGCACCTGGTTTGAAGAGGAGCAGGTCTGGATTGTCTTCATCGAAGGCAGAATTTCCAATTCCTGGTAGGATCTGCTTTCCCTCTGCAAATGCATCATCATATCCTATTTTTCCCTTTGTTTGTGCAATGTTATTGACTAGTCTGCATGTTTCTCTAACAGATGGGATTGGAGCATCAGACTTTAGGGAATCTTCAAGGTTCCAGGAGGTCTTGCAAGGTCAAGAAATTATGAGTTTTAATACTCTTTATGATGGTGTTGACGGTCAGAATCAGCACCCATCTGAAATAAGGAGTCGTTTTCCTGGTTCACATGGTTCTGGGATTGCTGCAATGGGAAGTGGTATCAGAGACTCAGTTGCCACTTCTGATAATTCCTATAAAGGCATAGGCTTTAATGAATCTTATAGATTCCATAAGGTCTTGCAAGGTCAAGAAATTTTTCCAAGCTCACCATATAGAAGAATCCCAAATGCTAATGAGGCTCGTGAAAATGGTAGTCTTGGACTCTCTGATGGTATCCAAAGGTCAAGCTCAAGAAATGGATGGTCTGCCATGATGCAGGGCTATAATACTCAAATGCGACCTCCTACGCAAGTATCATCTCCATCTTCAGTGTTAATGTTTCAGCATGCTAGCAACCCAGTTCCGAACCCTTCTGCCATTTTTAATTTCAATGATCACAAGGAGCAGCCAACTAGCACTCAAAGTTGGTTTTGTGGTCCTGAAACACGTGGGGGAAAATTCAAGTTGTCCTCACATTCTGAGCCTGGTCTAAGAGGAGGCAGCCAATGCAGCACAAATCCTTATGATCTGTCCCATGAGCATCTTCAGCATGGCATTTCACAACCTATAGCTCAATCAGCCTTTAGGGGTAGTCAAGATTTGGTGTCATGCAAAAGCAGCTGCAGACTCTTTGGTTTCTCATTGACTGAGGATAGACATGTTGCCAATAAGGAGGACAATATGACATCAATAACATCATTGAATCCCGGATCCTCTTTTCTGCCTTGTGTTGGAGAGCAGCTCCATCCTAAGCCTCCAGCAATAAATAATGCAGTTGGGAGCAGCTGTACCAAAGTAAGTGGCCTCTATTCTGTTAGAAACAAGCTTTTTGATAGTTCATTATAGTATATTTCAATCATAAAAAGGTGTAGGTTCACAAGAAAGAGTGTAGTAGGCAGGGCAACCGATCTTTCTAAATGTGATGGGTATATGAGTCCCATATTTTAATGGGGTATTCAAAACATTAACAACTAGTTGGGTTATGCATGCTTTTGGAGCACTTAGCTCGATCATAAACTAGTTGATGGGTGTATTTTTTTATCTGTAAGGGTTTTGACTGGTTTAATGTTGGATTTCATAGCGTACGTGGAAACTTGATCATTACAAGATGTTGGATATTTGGCAGTTGGTGCCTTTTCATTTCTGTCAATGATGCTATTTGTTCAAGGAGCATTGTGCATGATTATAGATCCTGTGTGGCGGCAAGGCTTGCCACTCAAATGGAAAACTTCAATATGATTGGTGCAAAAAGTTAAGGGTGGCATCTCGTGCTTTTAGGTTGATACTGTATTAGTTTTAGGTTAGATCCGTATATCTATTTTAAGGAACCAGTCAGATTGGTGTTTTTTGAATGGTTGATCTGGTCTTATTTGCCAACTGTGATGTATTAGCATATTATTTAATCATGTCAATAACTATTCATTTTCATGTTAGTTTTTCATCAACTGTTTGATCCAATCTGATGATCTCAATGAAATTGTTGGCATTGTTCTGTAGGCAATTCTGCAACATCATGCTGAAAATTATCGTATCTACTAATGAGATGCCGTAGATGCACCTGAGGCTGTGCAAGGGAATGCCTGTCCAGTTGCTTGAATTTATATGTATTAGCTTGTGAGAAAGAATGTAATTATTTTCCTAAGGTAACTTGGCTATATCCTAACTCCCTTGACTATGCAACAGAACTTTTTGTACTTTGTCCTAATCTATTAGGTTTCTCACGATAACCCTCATTCAAGAATGTTCTATTCATACTTGCTTGGCTCGGTCCAATTTGGCATTGTTGTTGTAATAGCACCTGATCCTTTGTAAGTTTGATTTGTTCTATGCTAGCCTACCAGATTCTGAATTATTCTGTTGTTGTTTTTGTTTGTTTTTTCCTTGTCTTTTTCTTGTGTGCTTCTAAAATCATCCGTCATACTTGGAAGGTACTCTGATATCCACAACAAACACTAAGGCAACTGCTTGCAGGATAACGTTTCGTTTTGGTTTTTTCTCTTTGCGAATCTTGGAAAGGTTGGAGCTAACAATAGTTTCATACCCCACTTCTGTATAGCAACTGTGATGATGATGCCCATGAGCTTCCAACGAGCAAAGTATGTAGATATAAGACACGATATGATCCAAAGAGGTTGTAGTCCCAGTTGTAGTGCCAGTTGTAGTGACCTTTTACAAGTGATCATTGATTCAAATCTTAACCTACTAGTTCTGATAAGAGTATTGTGTGTACGAGTGATACCAATTAATTAGAAACTTGACATGTAATGTGCATAATAGAAGTAGCTGGACTTTGTTGTTGATGGTCCTCTTAGTGTATCAGGCAAAGTTCCGACAGGACTTATTGTACCTTGTTGTGAGTTATCACATCAACTTTTAAGAACTTTTGCATCATGGTCCCCCAGCCAGCCTTATCAGTTTTTTTTTTTTTTTTTGTTTGAAGCTTGCATGTGATCGTTTGGGACTTCACATGCAACTTTCAATTGCACCAAGTGTCTGTTGGAAAGATCTGTATTGAAAAGATATTTGGATCTACACAGTTTACATACAATGATGAACGTCATTAAATCTAAACTAATAGGTCACGAGTCTATTTTATACTAAACATTTTAATTATTTTTCAATGGGAAATAATTACAACTCGCATGTGTATTCCATGGTGTATGCATACTCGAACTTGGAGAAGATGGTTTCTAGAACTCCTGGTCCAGTTGTTTGATAAGATGATTATTTTTCCCATAAAATTTCGTGATGTTTATTGCTACATAACCTGGTTATCAGAAGCCATAGTGGCAAAACCACTCAAAGAGGAAATTATGGACTATGGGGCCATCGGCGACCCTTTGAGGTAGTGCATAACCTAGGTAGAAAAGGGTTCCTTTTGACTCGTCGGCGATGTGGGGTTATGAGCATCATCTATATTTTGTTGAATTTGAGTATTGTCCATCGCTGTAATTTTTGTTCCTGGTTCCAATGTTTGAAACTGATTCAACTATTGGGATTTTGGACCAAACAATTCAACAGAGAGAAATATTGATGTTGGTCAATGAAATGTAATGTTTTGTTTTCTTGTGTCATGGTTTGGAAGAATCTTTGCATTATTTTGCATGTGTCAAGAGACTCGGTTCATCACTTCAGTTCGATCACAGCAAATGAGAAGAAGGAAGCGACTACATTCAATTATTCAAAATAAATTCGATTGGCTTCGTAGCCGCAAAGTCGATCAGCAAGGTAGATGCTTGGATGGGAGATAGACTCTAGAGAAAGTCAGAACTTTCATGTCCTCATTCAACTAAAAGTCCAGACACACCACACGTACGCAAACACGAAAGTATTTGTTTTTGATTTTGATTACGCGCAGCAGCGGCCATCGCTTTCCCAGATAAAAACTACTAACGTGAAAGGTTCTTCTTAACTTCATCATCGTCCGTTTTTATATCTCTCTCTCTCTCGGGGGTCAAAACCGGTAGATAATTCATTAATTAAAACAACTTGATACAATCTTACTTCGCCAAACATATTCCAATTTGTAACTGCTTTCTTCATTTTTTTTATCTCACATATTTGATGTTTGATCCATAATTGATACATCATTTTCAAAAGACATTGTAGCACAGATAATTGGGAATAACATGTTGTTTTTTATATAAAACATTTAACCAAACCTTTTGAAAATTACAATTAACAATTTTCTTTAAAATATTAAAATTCAAATTCAATAACGCACTAAAAAAAGAAGAGGAAGCCATAACATCTCATTTTGGTAGAAAATTTGCTTTTCTAATTTTCACGTAATGTATATGTGGATTATAGTTATTTCCTTGGTTAATAAAGTTATTCTCTCAAGTCCTGTTCACCCTTATGGTCTAAGCAAATTCTTTTATGGTGCGTTTTAGTTATCATTATGTAATTCAAAACCTAATAATGGGCATATCAATACACTCTTAAAAAAAGTGGTATGAAATAATAAATGAATGTCTATGTACATGAATATACCATTCATGTAATGAATAAATATACATAAATGTATCATTCATATTCTTTTTTATGATTCAATTCACCATTATTATTATATATATATATATATTCCTCATTAAATCTCTAATCTAAAATTATGTGTAACATTCATTTATAAATAGGTGTGTTGTGTGAAGGAAAAACATAATTCAGTTTTCAATCATCTTTCTCTCTAACTCTCTTCAACATCTTTCACTCGATTCTTTACTATTATTATCACTTTATTTTATTGTTATCATTAATTTTATAATATGTTATCAATACGAAACCCTAACTAACCGATATAATGGATCATGAGATATGTATCTACCAAAATACTCGGTTATTGGATTGTTTTTTTTTTTTTTATACGAATGCTTTACCAAAAGATCTAAATTATCTAAATTATTAATAGATATTTATCTAATTTATCTTTTACTTTAAATTTAATGATATATAGAGTATACATTTGAAAACTTGATGAATGATCTAATATATAAAATCTAATGATCTAATGTAAGTTATTTGAAAAAGGTTAAATTTTATTATTATATTTATTCTTATTTTCTAATATTATTATTATATCTTGCTCTGTAGAATTTTGATTATATCGAACTTCATAATACTTGATTTTGTGGCCCTTAACATTTTAGGCAAGAATTATTGATCATGAGTGCTTGATGCTGAAAAAAATATTTTCTATTTTTTATGTCTCGAATATGTTCTTGTTGCAGCAATATTGAGAAAAGAGTTTTAAAAAATATTCTGAATTGATTTTATATTTTTTGGTGGCTAAAAAAAATAACGAACTATTGAGGAAAAATAAAGAATCTCGTCAAACTAGTTCTACTCTATTTCATGAAGTGGAAATGATAATTTATGATAATTCTTGGTCCGGAAGTGATCATAATCATAACAATTATCATAGTTGAGATTATTATAATTATAATTGCGAGTGGTCATAATAATACACCTTACTATCAAAAGTGAACAAACTATTAAAAGAAAAAATAAAAGTGGATCAAGTCGACATTTTAAAATTAAATGTTATAGACACGGTATGAAGAAACATTGGTCGTGTACTCGTCATATGTCGAAGTACTTGTTTTGAGATTTATCAAACCTCATTGAAAAAGAAAGAGAAAATATAAGATAAATTTTATATATCAAAATAATGATTGTGACAATGTTCCTCTTGATGATTTTGATAATTTGACATATTTAGACATTGTTGATTTTTTTTTTTTTTATAAAAAATTAAAGGAAAAGATAATTAGATTAATGATGGTAATTGAAGCTAATGATTTGTTAGCTTCTCTATTTATAAATAAGATTTTTTTATATTTCCTATGAGATCATGATTGTTATAATTTCTTTTTTGCTATATATTTATTTGTTTTCCATTAATGAATAATATATGGATACTACTAAGTTCATAATTGATTTGAACGTCATATATGAGAATTTATGCCTTGTAGATAGAGTAACAACGCATGCTATACTTGGAAATAAAAGGTATTTTTTCCATTTAATAATCACTAAGGCTAATTTTAACACTATATCTCGGTAATATTAATTTAATTGAAGGCTCTCGAAGAGCAAATATATTATTACTTAAAGAGATAAATTTTATTATAAATGATGCATTATTCTCTCTTAAGTCCTATAGAAATTTATTGAGTTTTAAAGATATTCGTCTAAATGGATATCATATCGAGATAATAAATATTGAAAATATTAAATACTTATATATTAAAACTATTAAAACTATTACATCGGGTAGAAAACATGTATTGGAGAATTTATTTGCTTTCTCTTCTATTTTATTTATTTGAGTTGTATTTCAATTACTTGGGTTATTTTAAATGTATGAACTTGAGCTAAATAATTAATCCTCTTAAAGTTTTGGGTTTTCTATTCTAAAAGGACTAGGCTACATGTGGCCTAGTGGGCAAATTAATCTTTGTGTAATGTGGATACTTATTTATTGAAAATTCCTTATTTGTTTTGAGTCCATGTAATATATGGATCCATATTTAATTACGCTGAATTAATAAAGTCCTAATTGAAGATGGATGACATAATTTCAAGTTAAATTAGGAAAAAAGAGTTCGAGATAGGAAAAGAGTCTATTCAACTAAGTAGGAAAGTTCCACCTAGCTGATTTATTTTAGGTCTTTTGTGTGAGTATTTAAGTACACTTTATACTACTTTTTCAGTTAGACTTTGATGAATATTTGAATAACAATTGAGATTTTTTCTATAACTTTTACGTGTTTTTTTGCTTGGACTAGTTAGGATGTCGAGATTGATCGACTAAGGAAGGCTTAGATCAAAATTATGTTAGATAGACTCTTGAAGAACATATCTTGTAAGTACTCTTTAATTCAACTTGGGTAGATTATTCCGCTCGGGGGTGAGACATTTGGGATTGCTTTATTTTATTGTTTTGTTTGCTTGATAAATTATAGGCGGATTAAGATTCTAGACTCAATAGTTTTGGGCTTCACGTTGATAACTAAGGTTAGGAATTTTAGTTTGATCTAAAATTTTGAAATCATTTATTTAAGGGGTTTAATTAGCTCTTGTTAAAAAAAAAAAAATATTTGCTTGTGTTTTGGGGTCGTGAAACTTGACGTAAATTCTTAAATCTATTATATCCAAAATTTTGACCCATTGAAAGATAGGGTTAAAGGGCTTAGATTGAAATGAAATTTGGCTTGCACATACTTTTGGATAGTATCTAGGTTGTATAAAAAGTTCAATTAAATTTGACTTGATTTGCTTGGAGATCAACCCTCTCCAATATTTGAATTTTGTGATTTTGTGGTTTGGTGATTGTGGGTTTTGTTAATTGTGATTTGACCTATTGATTGTGTGTATTTGAGATCTGATTGGAATCAATTTGGGGCTAGTTTATAGCCTAAGTGTTTCAGCCTAGAGATACTTTGATTGTTGCTTGTTGTTTGATTTTTCCTTAGGGCTTGGCATCTCCAGATCTAACATTATTCATGTTCTTCATCTCTTAAATTATATCTCTCCCATTTTCAGATCAAAATAATTTAAGCTATAGCACTAGGTGAGTAGTTGTCCTTCAAAAAGATTCTTATGTTATTCACATCTACATGAGAAAAAATGGACTAATAAACTATTTTATGCAATCCTTGTTTAATCAACCATCTTTAAGGAGTTGAAAATTATTTATTTGATGATAATTTTTCTGACTTTTGTAATATTATTTTTCTATTTGATTCAGCTAAATTTTTAATTTTTTTAATTTTTTAGTTAGTAAATTAATGTAACATGTCATGATATGTGATATTTTCTTTGCCATATGTCACTTTTGATTAAAAAATTACTGAAAAAACTAATGAAAGGATGACATTACAAAAATTTTATAAAAACATGATAAATAAAAAAAATAATAAAGAAGTCGCATTAAAAAAAAATCCAAAAAATAGAATAATATTTCATGCGATTAATACAAAGAAAGATAAGAGTAGTTCGTAACAAATTAAAAACCAATAAAGCGTTAACTCTTTGAGCATCGGCTGAGGCAATTATCAAGTCAAAATGAAGTCTGCAATTGAGAACATATTACAACTTGGTGGGCTGCTTTGATTTTTCTATCGCTTATTTCAGCATACACGTCACTGACTCCGTACCATTACACGGAAGGTCAGACCTGGCGCAACAATTGACGAAGTTAGCTTTTATTATTATTATTTATTTTAAATTAATTCTTAACTACCAAAGACAAAACATGCTAATTGACATTTGTATATATACCAAGGACCCAGAATTCTGTCTGCTTTCTTCAATTCCACCTGAAACAGAGGGCAGCACCAAGAGAGAGATAGAAGTTCCAAGGAGAAACATAACCTGATAATCGTAATTCTCTACTTTTCGTTTCTCCTCGATCGTCCAAACATAAGCTAGGCAATATATTGAGGCTCCAATATTATCACACACAAGAAAGAAAGAAAGAGGAAGAGATATACATATATATATATATATATAGTCGTCATATATTAGATGGCTGGAGAAGAAGAAGCAAAAACACTTGAAGAAACACCAACATGGGCTGTGGCTACTGTTTGCTTCTTTTTGATATTAATATCCATCTTTCTTGAGCATTTGCTCCATCTTTTAGCTAAGGTATATACAACTTATTAAGCATATATAGTACTCAAAACATTTGACATGCAACTATATATGCAAGACTTTCAGTGATTGATTGATCACCCCGTTGAACTGCAAGCATGTTCATATATATATCCATTAATTTGGTATTAACTTTAAAATTTTCATTTTGTTTTTGGGTTCGCAGTATTTCAACAAGAAAAGGAGGAAGTACCTCATTCAGGCTCTGTACAAGATCAAAACAGGTGATAATACACAACGCTATATATATATATATATATATATATATATATATATAGATAGATAGATTGCTATTTGTCTTGCTAATTACTAAACCTTTACTATTTGTTTTTTTTACAGAGTTGATGCTACTGGGTTTCATCTCATTGTTGCTGACGGTATTGGACAAGCCAGTTGCAAATATATGTATCCCGAAGAGTGTTGGTGAAACCTTTCTTCCTTGTGGTACCGTGGATTCAAGTGATTCGAGTGAAGAAGAAGCCAAATGTGCAGTGCAGGTATAATTTTTTTTTTTTAAAATAGTTACTTGCATGTATATATAGAAGACCAAAATTTAACACCAATGTTTTGATTGGATTCTTGAACAGGGAAAGGTTTCTTTGTTGTCCAGGGAAGGTATGTTGCAACTCCAGTACTTGATATTTGTGCTGGCTTCATTCCATTCCGTGTCAAGTATTCTCACGTTCGGCTTGGGGATGGCCAAGGTAAATTTCATTTATTTATTTCTTCTTTTCATGGTTATTTTAGCTGATTGCCAACTTACCGTTTTGAAATTATTATGTTTTTTCATGATCAACTATTAAATTTTGACTTTTAAGAACAAAATCAATTCAAGAAAGCCTCCAATAAGGAATGGAAGTTGTACTGGAAGACTCACATCCGTGGACCCTAGAAACCTTGATTTTTTTTTAGTGATTTGAAATGGGAAAGGGGAACTTGTGTTTGAAAGTTCGCATTTTTGCTTTCAGATGAGAAGATGGGAATCTTGGGAGGCAGAGACCAGGACTCTGGACTATCAATTTTCAACAGGTGAGATTGACTAATGGCCACGAACGTGTTTGGTCACATAATTCTTTGTGGGACCCCTTGAATTTTGTTTCATCAAGGAAATCAATGTCGTGGCCTAAGATGGATTAATCATTTAATGAACAAGTCCATTTTCTGATGATTTTTTCAAATGGTTCTTCAATTTCTAATAATTTTTTTTTTAGTTGTAAGCAAACGACTCTAATTATCGTAATATTCAAGACTTTGTCTGTAGTTCAATATCATTTAGATTTTCATGATCAAGGAATAAGATTTAAATTTTATGTTTACATAACTTGCAAAAATTTCATGGAATTGATCACAATTTCTCGAAGAAAGAACATCTTACCTATCAAATAAAGCACTACATGCAAACTCATCAGTACTCCTCAAAGCATATGCAAAAAGTAACAGAAGTCCTACTGAATTACACAAGCTTGTACTTATTTTGCTTTTACTGGTCATATCCAGATCCCAGGAGGTTCCAGCTCACTCATCAAACATCATTTGGGAAACGGCATTTGAGATATTGGAATGAAAACTCAGTTCTTCGCTGGCCGGTTAGTGAAAAAGAAAAAAAAAAAAAAAAGAAATTGACCATGTTTAACATTTATCTGATTATTTCTGTACCGTTGTTGTTTTGACGATCTTATGCAGGCATGTTTCCTCAGACAGTTTTATGGTTCTGTTTCCAAAGTGGATTATCTCACACTTAGACATGGATTTATTATGGTATATACCAACCTCAACTACTTGAAACAGGGACAAATTTACAGAGTTATGATAATAAATAATTTTTAACTCAAACTGTTTGTTTTTTTTTTTTCCTGCTCTTTAATTTGTGCAGGCCCATTTTGATCGAGGCAGCAACTTTGATTTTCAAAAATACATTAGAAGAGCTTTGGATAAAGACTTTGGTGTGGTGGTGGGGATAAGGTAGCCAGTTAGATAATGAAAATTAATTTTCAATCTTCAATGCTCGATCAGTGTTAACTCACATTAAACCCGAAATTTTGAAACTTAATTCATTGCCTAAAATTCTGTTTTTGCAGCTTCTGGATTTGGATGTTTTCTATATCTTTCATATTCTTCAACGCACACAGTATGTTCAAATAAACTGATCGCTTCATTTACCAATATTTGTACGCATTAAAACCCTATACATCAAAGGTTTATAATTCTAATTTTTGTCTATGTACTCTGTTCTATGTGTGCAGAATTTTACAGTTACTATTGGCTTCCCTTTATTCCATTAGTGGTAAGTGAATAGACTCCAATAATTACCAATGTACTTTAACAAAAATCGTGTAATTGTGGATGAAAAATCTGTGTGTTGAAGTACTTCTTGCTGTGTTTTGCAGATGTTGTTGCTGGTTGGGACACAACTGCAAGCCATCATAACTTTAATGTGCTTGGATAGCCATGATAATTCTCATGTTGTTGAAGGAACTTTACTTGTTAGGCCTAATGACCGCTTCTTCTGGTTTGGTAGGCCTAAATTGCTTCTCCAGCTCATACAATTCATATCGTTTCAGGTCATTCTTTAATCCTTGAAACAAATTTTCATTTTCGTTTAAACTTTCGCTCTTAGCTTTTTAAATGCTAACAAAATAACAGCACAACAATTCTGTACATGTAAAGATAAAGAAAAGAAGAACTCTATATATGTAGCTGTACATATGAATTTATTCTAAACTGTATTTTTTGGGCTTTGCAGAACTCCTTTCAATTGGCATTTTTCACATGGACTTGGGTAAGCATCCATTAGTATTTTATTGTTTAAATTTTCTTTTATTAGTTGATTTAAAGGAAAAAAAGTTTCCAATTCTAACGTTGCTTCAAAATACAGTACAAATTTGGATTCAGATCATGCTTCCACCGACGAACTGAAGACATCGTCATAAGGCTTGTCCTGGGAGTGTTGGTACACTTCCTCTGTGGCTATGTGACACTACCTCTTTATGCTTTGGTCACACAGGTATGCATCTGCATATGTTTATGATCACCAGATCCTGTATATATAGAACCGTTCACAGTTCATACCAACAGAAAACTTGATTAACCAAGAACAGCGACCGTTACGGCATTACTTGTGATTCAACTCAGCTGTGTTACGTATGATTGTGTATTCAGAATTTGATGATAAGCGTTACTTGCAACAGATGGGTACATCAATGAGGACAGCAGTTTTTACAGAAAATATGGTTGAAGGCCTGAAAAGATGGCGAGCTAAGGCTAAGAAGAACCTGAAAAATTCCTACTCAGCCCGCCCCTCTCTTGATACTTCACTTTCCCTTGACTCTTCACCTTCTTTCAGCCTCCATACTTCAAATTCTATAGACTGGAATCGTCCATTGAACAGAGATCATGTTGCTATCGAAGTAACTGATGAAGCAAAAGACGATGATGAGCAGCTTCAGGAGCATAAAAAACATGGTTCATTTGAAGGCTTTGAGGTGAGCAATGCAGCTCTAACTACAGAAAAAGAGAGCGGTTCATGAATACTTAGCAGCTACAATGCTTTCTTGCTACAAGAGATTCTGGTTGCCGATTGATTGTACAGTTGTTATTTGTTATTATTCCTTCAATTTCTTCCGTGCTTCTATTGAATATGAAGCAATATCGTTTGGATGTTGATTCTGCCCAAACTTTTCCATTTTGTATTCTACCACATACGTATTTGCAGTCTTAGCAGTTTTTTTCCTCACATTTTCTATAAATATATATTTTTTCCTCCAAAATTCCACTAACTGATTTAACCTAACACACAAATGGGGGAAAAAATGATCAACAAGCTCTGATTTAATTATACAGCATCATTCCACTGGTAGGATTTGGAGTGATTAGTGAGGATGACGGTGGCAATATCGATAAAGCTATACCATCATAGTTTTAAGCGATGAATTCTGGTAGAAAAATGATTGCGATTGCATTGAAGTGGTAAAATAATGATGATAGTAATTAATGTCGTGAATAAATTAACATACTAGAAGGTGTTAATAAATATATTCTAATTTACATATTTTTAACAGTTTTATTAATTAAGTATAATAATAACATCTCTTAGTTTAATATCATGCAATAATAATTAAATTTATTACAAAAAATAATAATAACATTCATAATACTTTAATATCACACAAAAAATAATAAAATACAAAGAATCAATTTTTTTTAATCGCCAAATAACGACATTATATAACAGCAACGACATATAACGCTCTTATTTGTGTGAAATTGTATTATGCTCTTTATAGTGATGTATAACAATAACAAATATGGCTGAATCCATTATATAACTACGGTTATTTAATACTATGACTACCATACTAAGCTTAGTAACATTTATCATTTAATGTATAAAGACAAAAGAGGCCTATTCTGATTGTCCAGTCCATAAGATCTACCATAATTCCAGGTAAACATAAAACAAAAAAATTGTCACATGCGATCACTACTCATAGTGTTCATGTTGGGCTCGAACAAGTAAAATCTTATAAAAATACTGATAAACATAACAAAACATGTTACCATCCTCGGTCTATTCCGTACTATTAACAAAATCTTGACGAATTTTGACAATTTTATTACCAAATAAATCATTAAAGAGTTTGTTGTCTAATAATAATGATCTTTTATAACAAGAAGTCATGAGTTTAAATTCTAACAAATTAATTCTACTAGAAATCTTGGATGTGTGAGTTAAAAAAAAAAAAATGCCAAACAAACTCGATAAATTATTCTTCATCGGGTTAGAGAATATCATTTTAATTTATGAAGCTCCTAAGTTATAAAAATCATGCTCTGTTCACTTATAATCTTTTTTCTTAATGTTATAGCATTTTTTGTAAGTGAAGATGGATTAATATAGAGCTTCTAAAATTGATTTGGAAAATCAACCAACGAGTTAACAAATCCATAGATTTGTAAGAATTTAGAAAAATGAAATAAAATATATAGATGTAATATTTCTACTATGACCTTCTCCAAAATTAGTAACATTCAGGCATAAGATTTTCAAAAAAAAAAAAAAAAAAAAAAAAAATCGAAGAATGTAATATCTTTAGTATGGCTTTCTTCAAACTTATTACTATTAATTCAGGCTGTAAATTAATTTAAACTCAAATATGCTTGACAGATTTTAATATTGAACGGAGAAGGTGTCAACTGAAACAACAGCAATCAATGGATAAGTTAATAGTCTAAACTAACAATCCAATGTTTATGGACTTTTTATTATTAATTTGATAGTTCTAATAGGTTTTATTAAGCTTTTATTGGAGAAATTTATGGAGTTGTGACTCTCAAATTTTATAAACTTAATTAGTTCTTTCAAAACTATGCTTCTTTAATTGAAAAAAAAAAAACTAATAATCTGGTCTAACATTACAAAAATACTATGCATTTAGAAAAGTAAAACTCCAAACAATTATGAACCATTAATTCAATCACTCTCTCTCTCTCTCTCTCTCTCTCTCTCTCTCCACACACACACACACACACACACACACACACACACACACACACACACACACACACACACACACACACACACACACACACACACACATATAAGGAATAATGGAAGTTTTCTTTTTGCACAATAGAGTAAAAGGCCCAAACCAACTACTCACACGACATCAAGAAAGCTACTAGGTAAGTCTCAAAATAAGTTATTACTTTTTTTTTATTTTTTATTTTTTTAACTATTAGGATTTTTTCGGATGAAGTGCTTCTCAAAAATAAATCCTTTTATGATCCAATTGGTAATTTCCAACGTATATCGGTGAATTTTTTTTCTTATGGTTTCTAATTGAAAATTAAAATTATTTTTTTTAATTATTTCTAAAGAAACTATAATTATTTGTTGAATTTTTGAAGTATTTCCAATGAAAATAAAAGAATAATTTTTAAAATTTTTCCTAAGAAAATAATTTCCCATCTAGAATCATTAAATAATATTTTTCGGATGACTGATTTAGATAGATTTAACGACAAAAATTCAACCAATTAGTGACAGAACAAAATTTCATTAGGAGAAAATAACGACTATAATATTTGGAGCATGCCCTTGGAAGACCTCATCATAAGTCTTGCGAAGCAGAAGAATTTTTCCCTTTTAACATTTTGTTATTTGGAAGGACTTGGAAACTAATTTGTTACTAGTTCCTCCCTTCGCCATTTTCTTTCTCTTTTCTAGATTCTCTATACTGTTAGAGAATTAGTTTATTGGTTTTATTTGTATATATACCCCCAATGCACACTTTAATGAAGTGAGAGAAAATATTTCTTTTCATTTCTTATTCTATTTATTATTTTTGTTAATAAAATCCATATTGTCTTTAATCTGTTGCTAAAAGCATATAGCGATAGATTATTTAGCTATAACAATGAATTTCCAATACATAGTGATGGAAAAATCTATCCCTAAATGCCAAAAGTTTGATAGTGTCAGCTAAAACAATAAAAAGAAAATAAAAAAGCTGAGTATGATATTAACCTAACTATGTACCAATTAGCAAAGTAAATTTATTATCATTGTTCACTAACCAATTTCATCTACCTATACTACAGATTGATCCCCTTGCAGAGGTGTAATCATGGGAATTTCCACGATTTGTTTTGTTTGCTTGGGAGGTACCGATACAATAGCTGTAATAGTAGGTTTAATCTTCTCCGTGGTCTTGATAATGACCAAGAACAAAATTCTGTATAGAGCGACCATTCCAAGCAAAATGCCAAGATCAATCCACTTGGATAAACCCATTTCTACTTGCCATTGATCTCTCAGAATTTGTTCACCGTGAATCCGTGGCCCTCCGGCTTGACTGCTAAGAAACGTCAGTCCTTCAAATTCATTCTTGAACATTCCTTCGTAGGCATATTTATGGAAGGCAATGTAGTGCATGGGATACTTCCAGAATGGTTGAGGAAGATCATTTGGCAATCTAAAGAACCCCCCACCCAAAATCATGAAACCTTGAATCCCAGCTCCTGTTATTATTCCCATCAGAAAATTTGGCACCATACTTGCAACAGTCATCATTAAGCTCTCAACCAACATCATGCAAGCAAACAATACTAAGATAAAGTATATGAAGTGTTCATATCCTTTGTGAAGTCCAGGAAGGTAATAAGCTATTGCTCCCGGGATTACTGATATCAATAGCAAGTATGGCAACGCAGAGAATGTGTTGCCAATAACAAAAGCAGTGGCACCATAGTGCCCATTTAATCTTTCTCTTTCAAATACCTGGATTGAAGAGGAGAAAGAAAGGCATTTAGTATATATTCATAAGATTAAAATTTGGAGCAAAAAGATTTGCAAAAATAGTTTATGTACCTTCATATCTTCCACAAAAGAAGGGAACCCACCGATGGTCATGAACGTTAAGAAAGAAGCTATGAACATTAGCAGAGAACCTCTAGCCTGTATAATTGTTAGCATAATGATATTTCTCAGCTGGTTTATTGCTAAGTTGTTGTAATGTAATCAAATCCATGGTTGAGTTGTATCTTATGCCGTACCTGAATTGAATTATAACCAGATCCAAGGTTGTAAAACAAAGTGCCAAGGCCTAACGATAATGAGACATAGATTGCGACACGCAACCAATAGTACCCAAGATCTCGATACATGTTTAAGAAAGATCTTCTTGTAAGCACAAGACACTGAGTAAGGAAGCTAGAATGGCTTCTTTCTTCTAATGTCCCACAATTCTGTATCAAATTCGATTGTTAATCATCCCTTTCAATGACTGTAATATGAAGTATATATTACTTAGAAATTGGAAGGTAGTCAGTTTCTTACCTTTTTACATATTTCTGTCACTAGTCTTTTAACCCGTTGGTAATTGTCTGATGATTTATACGCCTTCGTAAGAGTATTAATCGCTTCCTCAGCAGTAATTGCATCTTCTAAATCTTGTTCAATATCCTATGAAGGACATAATCAGAATTTTAATGTGTTTTCAAGCAATCAGGCCTGTAATGAAACTTGGAAACGATCTTCGGTAACATCAAAATATGAAATATACTATTAAAGCCAGATCTTGGATAAAACTACATACCCTTTCAAAATCTTTGTTTATGGTTTTCAGGAAATGATCAGATGGGTTCTGGAGAGTCGGACACGGAAAACCATTCAAGGCAAAAAACTATATTCAAACAAAAGAAAGAACGATTAGCCAAGCTATAGTTAATTCTATATGATCTACATATATTGGATCAGTTAAGCCTATAAAATCTTGATGAACAAATACCTCATTTGCTTCAGTAGCTGGGCCAAAATACACAACTTTACCAGCACAGAGCAGGCAAAGACTATTGAAAATCTGAAAAACTTCACTGCTAGGCTGATGAATGGATGCAATGACAGTTCTTTTATTTTCTTCTCTCTTGTCCAACCTTGCAATTCCTCTCATGACATAATATGATGCTGCACTATCAAGCCCACTTGTCGGTTCATCGAGAAAGAGAAGTTTCGGATGCGTTAGAATCT